AATAATAATAATAATAATAATAATAATAATAATAATAATAATAATAATAATAATAATTATAATAATAATTATAATAATAATAATAATAATAATAATAATAATAATAATAATAATAATAATAATTATAATTATAATAGCGATTGTTATAATTATTATTCATCAACGCCCTTAACTACAAATGTGACTACAACTTCGTCGCCGTCTCCAATTTCATCGTATTCGTTTTCTAATGATTATTATTATTCGCAATAATTTTAATTAGAACGTTTTAGTTTTAAAAAAAATAATTTTCGATTTAATCTATGTATTTAATTTTTTAAATTTTTTAATTAAGATAATTATGGTAATAAGTAAATAAGTAACAATTATGTAAAAATTTAAGGTTATCATTAATCAAATTAATCAATGAATGGCATTTGGCACGAGCACGGACGGTTATATTAATATTAATCCTTTCTTTGTTACACGATCAAAATAAATACTTTTTCGTATTTTCCCGTTAATGGACAATGAATTTAGAAAATTATATATTTATATTTATTTCATTTTATGCGTATAACATTATATTTATCAACCAAATATTAATGCAGGTGTTTTTTATTTTTTTTTATTTTTAAAAAATCATCTTTTTGCATTATTATAAGAAACTCATGTCTGAAATATCAAATATCGAAATTAATGAATTGCTTAATTTAATTGACACGGAATTGGCTGCAACAGATTACCAAACTTATTATTATAATAATAATAATAACAACACTTATAGTAATGATCCAACAATTTCTCCATTAGAACCTTATAGTGGTAATACAATTGATAATTTATTGGTGATAATTATTAATATACTACTTATTAATATTGTTTTAACAATTCCCAAAAAAAATTTCAGTGCCATCATCTAAATCAATAATAAATACAAATAATCCTGCTTTGTTATCTTACATTGCAATTAAATTTAGAAAAAACCAGAAGTTAGATGTTCACACTAAAGGGTTTATCGACTATTCCAATACTTTTACTGGTTCAGATGCCGTGGTAATTATTAATTAAATCGATTAAACACATACACACATATGTATGTATGTATGCTTACATCAATACGCATTTATATTAATTATATAGGGCACAATCCATTCTTTATTACCAAAAAATACGCCAAGACATGTTGCATTACAAATGGCAAGGTCGTTAGAATCACAAATGTTTTTTCAATCAGTTAACCTTGCCTTTTCCTCCTACAACAATTTTGTTGTAATACACGATTCTGATAAAGATGTATACTCGTTTCTTTTTAATCGAGATTCATTATTATTGGACGGTGTTGATGATGTTGATGATGTTGATGAATTTCCTAATGGTGTTTTTCCCACAGTCTCAACAAATTGTTATAGTCCTTTGTGTAATATTTATAGTGGCATTGTTAGTGATGACAGTAAAGGTTGTTATTCTACAACTTGTAAAAATTATGTTCATAATCAGGTAGGCGATTTTAATATTTTTCGTAGTAATAATAATTATATTGATTTTTGAAATTTTTTAGAATCCTCAACCTCCATCGATCAATAATAACGATATAGGGAGAAAGTCAATACCAGATTTTGTAAATTATTTTCATCATTATGGTTTTTAATTTTCTTAATCAAATAAATAAATAAATAAATAAATAAATAAATAAATAAATATATATAGGATAATACTCTATTACCAAAATTTTCATGGATGAATTCAGCTCCTAAAGAAATACTGGATAAAATTTCTAGAAATGAATTAAAACGACAAGAAATTATTTTTGAAACTATTTATACCGAAGAAGATTATATTAATGATTTGATTATTTTGGAAACTGTTAGTTAAAAAAATGGAGTGAATTAGTTAATGAATTAACTAATTAATTAATTATGTATGATTTATGATTTTCCTACTTTCCCTCTCTTTTTCTAGGTATATGTTAAACAACTTCGAAATGCCACACCACCCATTATACCACCAGAAAGACTCGAAGAATTCATCAAAGGGATATTTTGCAATGTTTTTGATGGCATATTGACCGATAACAAAAAAATGCTTCACCTCCTAAAAACCAGACAACAACAAAGTCATGTGATTGAACAAATTGGTGATATTTTCTTGGAGTGTGCTCAACAATTTGGTCATCATTATATCAAATATAACGAAAATTTTCCTTTTGCCGATTATCTTGTCAAAAATGAAAAATTAAAAAATTATAACTTCAAAGAATTTCTAGAGGTAACTGGTAATTTATTTAAATTAAACCAATTAATATAAAATTAAAATTTATTATAATTATTGTTAGAGATGTTCAAGAGATCCACAGACTCGTAGATTAGACTTTCGTCACTTTGTACAAAGGCCTACACCACGTCTACAAAAATACGTTTTACTACTTGAACAAATACTTAAATACACTTCTGACGATAATCCTGATAAACCAGTTCTTATTAAATCTATAGAAGCATTCAAACATTTATGTAGAGAAAGTGATAATAAAGTTCATGAGTCAGAAAAAAAAGTAAAATTTAGAGAACTTTATCTAAAAATAAGAACGCAAGATAATAAAGTTTTTGTAAGGATTATTATATGTTTTTGTAAAACTTTTTACTAAATTTGATTATATATTAAATCATTATTATCATTTTTTCAATATTAAAATTAAATTTTTTGAAGGAACAACTAGATATATTAAATCCTGAAAGAATCCTTTTTTTTAAAGGTGAACTACAAAGGAGATCAAGCAATCGTCTTGAATGGAGTGATCTTTTTGTTTTTCTTTTTGATAATTATTTAGTATTGACTAAAAGAAAAATGATTGATTATGATGGCAATGAAAAATATATTATATCTGGAAAGGTAATTGTTTTATATTTAAATTGTTTTGTACCGAAATATTTATATTAATTATAATTATAATACATGAGATTAATAATATATAATGGTTTATGATACATGTATAAATAAATGTAAGCCGATTCCATTGGAAATGTTAGTATTAGATGGATTTAATGATCTTGGTCGTACGAGGTCAGGCAGTAATTCACAATATTTACGAATGTTTGAATCAAAAAAAATTATATCAAAAGGATCAAGAGGATCTAAAAAATCAAATTCATTATCGAACAAATTTGTTGACAATTACGAAAGACCAAAATCATTAATAATTGATGAATCAATTCAGAATAATCAGAATCAGCAACAGACGAAAAATTTATCATTCACAATAATTTATGTTGGTAAAAATAATGGTGAAGTAACTTATCAATTATACGCAGGTTCCTTGGATAAAAAAAAGTTATGGAAAGAAAAAATCCTGGAAGCCCAAACTCATCTTGCGTCAAAAAATGCTAAATATAAATTATTTGAATTGATCACCATCAATGATTCCACTTTTACTAATTTGTCTATCGGGAATCAAGATAGCCATAGAAATATTGATAACTACCATTACAATAATCATAGTCATAATAGTTTATCAAAAGGCAAAGTCATTTGCTCCGTACCATTTGGTATATATATATATATATATTTTTTTTTTTTTCGATATACAAAGTTTTATTTTAATTAATTAATTGTTTGTTTAAAAGTTTATGGATCATCAAATCGTAAGATGGTTGCAATTGGTACTGAAGAGGGTGTATGGATAGGTGCAATAGATGATGCTCAATCATATAGAAAGGTATTACATATTGGAAACGTAACACAAATGAAAGTATTACAAGATTTTGGAATGTTTATATTATTAGTAGGTAAGTTATTTAAAAAATATCATCATTATTTAAATCATAATCCAAATCATCATCATCATCATCATCATTACTAATTTATTTATTTTTTCTTCAAAGATAAAAGTCTTTGGGCATATTCATTAGAATCTTTAATTACAACAACACCGACATCATCAAATGATTATAATTCATTTATTCGTCACCGTTTAAGTAATGGTCATGTTAATTATTTTAATACTGGAAAAATAAAAGACAAGACATTGATTGTATTTATGAAAAGAAAAGGATTGGATAGTTATTTTAAAACTTTAGAGGCTGTTTATTCCTTTGATCCAACAAATGAAAAATATCACCATCGATCATCAATTTCAAAGAAAGGATTTGGATTTATTCAATCGAAAAACGAGTGGTTTAAAGAATACAAAGTATCTATTACTATTATTGTCGTCGTCATTTTATAATAATATAATTATGAATGAAATTGTTAATTCAGTTAATTGATTTTTTTTAGGAATTTAATATTCCTTCTGATTCATATTCAGTAAATTTTTTAAAAACAAAATTATGTGTTACATGTGCAAGAGGTTTTGAAATTGTTAATTTGGATTCTCTTAGAAAAATAGTCACCATACCTGACTTCGCACAATATCAATCATTGCTACCTATAGCAAAATTATGTGAAAACTCAAAACCTCTTGCAATGTTTAGAATTGGAGATGAATATTTATTATGCTACGATGGTTTGTTTTTGATTTTGATATATTCGTGTGAAGGTGTTTAATTGACAAAAAGTGTTTAAAAAAATTATTTTTCGATTTTTTCATTATATATAAATATATATAGAAATCTTTTTTTATATTAATAAATATGGCGAATTGACAAATAAAAAACCCATGAAATGGGAAGGAAAACTCGACGCAGTTGGTGAGTAATATTATCATTCATTCTCATCATCATTTTTCAGTAATCAATGATTATTATATTATTATATATTTATTTTTTTATAGCATTAAGTTCACCATATGTAATTGGATTTAATCAATTATTTATTGAAATAAGACATTTTGAAACTGTAAGTAAATATTTTTTTATTTATTTTTTTTCTTTGACAGAAAAATTAAATAATAATTGATTAATTGATTAATTGATTGATGTAGGGAAATTTAGTTCAAATCATACCAGGAAAAAATATAAATTATCTAAATAATATGGATAGTAACAATAATAATTCAGGAAATGAACAAGACGAAGAGGAAGAAAATGTGATTCATGCCGTAATGCAACATACTGAATTGGATATTCAATATGTTTTTCAATTATGTAAAATTGCAAAATAAAAGAAATTTGTAATATATTTATTCATGCTTCAACAAATTATGTATTTTTATTATTATTTTGTATATGTATAATTAATATAATTAAAAAAATAAGAAAATTTGTAATTTGCATTGTACAAGTTTAAAAGTGTTTTGTTACATGTTGCTATGTTACCCTCCCGATTTTTATTTGAGAAGTTGTAAAGATATCCCTTGCACAAAAAGAATATACCCTTAAAGCAGCTAAACCATGGCAGAAATTGATACAGCTCATAAAATCCACCAAGAATTTGGTCAAGATCTGAAATTTTTTGGATATTCAAGTCTCAGTTGAAGAATCGACATAACAATCCTTATATACAAAAAGAACATGGCCAGAAAGAAATTATGTGAAAGAATATCATCATCACAACCTCAATCACAGCTACCAAATTTCTTATACAAATACATAAGTATTTACTTTCAACACTTCCAACGAATAGTTATCATGCCTTTTTCTCAGCATTTGTTTATTAATGGCCAACTAATATTTTTCCAATTAATAAAAGATGGATAGAATTCAATTTTTCTCTTTGCCGGTCTAGTCAAAATCTAGCAGCATTCCATGATACTGTTCTTTTTCTTGTATGCTAAAACATTGAATCATAAAGGTCAGAAAACACAATGTTCTCATCATGCAATTTTCTTCAATGTCTTTAGCAAATCACATTTATCAAGCTGATTACCATCAATGTGTTCTATTACCACTATATAGAACCCATATTTCCTCAACACAATACAATCCTGGTGCCTTTCCAATTGCATTGCATAATTCGTGTACCCTTTATTATAATCATGTGTGAATTTAACAACAATTTTTTGTTCATCTTTCATTTCAGTTTTCCAAAGAAGCTTCTGTGGCTTATTCACAAGTTTCTCATAGGTAAAATACTAGCAATGTCTTGATTATAGCAATTTGAAATCGTTGGTAATCTACAGTGATCTATAAAATTTTTTCAGCTGATCTAAAAAATCATACATCCTTCTCACATCATTGGTAGGAATTAAGGTATAAAGTTTATAAAAGGGACAATTAGCATAAATGGCATCCAAGATACATCCAGCTAAGGCTATCAAGAAGCATTGCCAGTTGCACCATTTGAGCATTTCTGCACCCTTTCTCCTAGGTATAAAACTTTGTAGCTGGATCACAGCCACCAGCACCAATTTCATTTTTTAATTCAACAAGAAGTCATAATCCATATCTGAGGGGATGTTATAAGATCGTCGGGGCAATAGTAAATTTCTTACCTTTCAAAATACTCTATAGAAAATAAAAAACCATTTATAGTATATGTGGCATAGATAACTTATGTCATAGTGTTTAAAAAGAAAATGCTAAGAGGGCGTTTTTAAAAGCCTTATAAAAAACATGGTAATGAAATCGATTAGATAACTTTATATATAAAATATCATGAAATGCCAACTTCGTACATGGCTTTCTTTTTATTTATATATTATGTAGTTATTACATTTGACGGCAGTTTGAGTTGTGTTCCTTTTCTCAAGTACATGTTCTAATTTTTTTATTTCAGAAGAGATATTTGAGTTATTAGATTCTGTTGACAGGTCTCCAAGCCTTCTTTTTTTGGTTGAATTGTTGATCCCAAATTTTTCATATGCTTCACCTTGTTCAAGGAATTTAAAAGTAGCCAAATTAATATTAATCGGGAAAATCGTACCAAAGCCAAAATCAAGAATGCCAATAGCAACTTTGTATGGCAAGAGTGGGTGCTAAAAGAAAATAAAATATGGTGTAAAATATCCACATAAATGAATAAAAGCTAGGCCATATAACAAAGTCACAAATATGCTCGAGTACCAAATGATCAAATGCCAAACCAAATTCAATCAATGGATTAATTGATAAGGAAAATAAAACTAACAGAATAATTATTAAGTTACTCTTATATACGAATCCAAGTCCAAGGATAAGTATCGTCAGTCTGTGGATTGATGATGAAATTATTTTGATAAACGATGAACTAAGGAACTTATAATAATAAACCATGAAACTGGATATTTAGAATTTTAAAATGATGTTCGTTACAGTGGCTATAATAGTAATTTATTTTTTACAATACTACGAACAAATTCTTCATTGATAAAAGATTTGCGAAAATCGCTAAATTTTTGTCAAAATATACATAATAATCGTACAAAAAATTATACCTGTTTCTGGAGATTATTTATATAAACTTTCATGCCTCCGGATTTCCAGAATTTTGTCAATTGGAAATAAAAGAAAATTGATTTTGAAAAAACAATTCAATGTGTAAATTTCTTTAATAATAATTGCTCTAAAGCCTACATAACAACATGATTTAGGATTTTCCGGTTCTCTGGTATAATTTTTATTACATAGTTTTGGCTACTTTTTCATAAAACAACATTTTACAAACCATCGTTTTTTTTCTTAACACGCTGTATATATATATATATATATATTGTGGAGTGATTTATATTATTAATTCATCTTTAGAATTAAATTATTTATTTGCTCTCCACAATCACCAAATTCATTTTTTTCTAAAATATTACAATGACCAAATTTTCTTTTGATCCATCCACCATCAGGTATTGATAATTTAAAAGGACAAAGAAAATTATTTGCTTTTTTAAACTAGAAAAAAAAAAAAAAAGAACAAGAGAGAGATGAGGAAAAAATCCCATTGACTAATTAATCAATTCATCAATTCATCAAATAATTAATTGATTAACATACATTTGGTCCAACAGTAAAAATTTCATGAATTAAATCTTCAACACAAATTATTCCAACATCTCCCAAACTCTCTTCAATCATTAAATTGTCACTTATAGGGACTTGTTTTTTATTTATTTTGGCAAATCCACGTTTATAAATAAGTTCATGAACAGATCTAAAATAATTAATCGACAGTTAATTGATTGATTAGGAAGATGTTATTATATATAATTACATATATGTACTAACTTTAAATTAGGAACACCATATGCAACATATGGATTTACTAATTGAAGCATTATTTTAATTGATTTGTTCAAACGAACAAAAACACCAGTATTAATTTGATTTAAACGAAAAATATTAAGAATTTTTTGTTGTCTCGGAGTAATAATTTTTATGCTAATATACAATAGAAAATATTAATATAATTTAAAAAAATAAAATAATAATTCATTCTTTGCTTACTTATTAATGCGTATAACAAATAATAACTTTGCTTGTTCTGGAACACTCAAATCGAGATTTGAATTAGTCAAATGACGCATACGAATCTCTTGACGTTCACCAATGCGATATTCTTTAACATATTGCTCTGCTCGTTTAAATATTACACGACGAGAATTTTTTGTTTCCTATATTATATTGTATTGTATTATAATTATAGTTGTTAGCATTATTGTTTAGCATTGTTTATAGTCGGTAAAGGCACATATTTAATTGTTTCAACCTTTCGTTTTTTAATAATTGATGCAACTTTTTCTGCTGTTTTTCTTTCTTGTTCTTTTCTTTTTTTTAGAAGAGTTTCAGGAACTCGATTTAGTTCAGCTGGTTGTGTCTCTCTAAAATTTAAAATGGTAATTACTTGATTTGATTTTATTAAATGAATGAATAAAGAATCATTTGTGCTTTTTATTAAAACTATAAACTCACAATCTGTTTGTCATTTGCTACTTTTTTTGAGTGTATTAAAAAAATTTTTGAAATGATCGGCAAAAAAATCAGAAAATTAATAATGGACTCCAATGTTACCTCAATATTAATAAAAAGATTTATAAAATAATAATAATGTTGTTAGAATGGTTGAGTCCTTTTATGTTAATTTTTCTTCCCAACATAGCAACAAATTTTATTCAACATTCATATTACTCGTTTGCATATCGCGTTGCCTCTGATGTTCCGAAGCCTGGTCAACCAAAACACATCTTACATCGAAAAAGAATATATATATTTGTTGTAACGACGTATTTAATATATACAATTATTGATGTTATCAATTCCATTCCTGCAAATTTTTATGATATACATCTATTAAGACATGATTTTACTGAACCCGAACTCAGATCTAGCTTTAGAAAACTGTGAGTATTCAAATTTTTTTTATTTCTTATTATTTTCATTTATAGTTTGACAAAATTATTCTATTAATTTTTCCGCTAGTCAGCTACTATTTCATCCTGATAAAAACCGAGACGATAAAACGGAAGAAGTCTATATAAAGATTCGAACCATTAATGAAATTTTAAGTAGTCCAATTACACGTTTTGCATATGATAGGTTCTTTATTTATCTATTGTTTTAGTTTTTTTTTGTTTATTAATAATTTGAATTAAAAAAAAGTTTTTTTTTCTTGAACATCAAATTTATTAGATTTGGTTCTGATATTTTTAATACTTGTGATCATTGTCGTACATACCGAGAATTTGTTTTTCAAGGATTGCGCGAGTCGATTGAATTTTATATAGGCACGGGGTTATTACTTTTTGTTCTTAATGTATTGGGAAAAGGACAATTTGGAAGGTTTTGGAGATTTGCAGTTTTTTTTGGTATGGCATTCATGGAAGCATCAATGATACTTCACAATCCTGTGAATCCCATAAAAACAATTTCACTTCGTGAATTGTTGATGTCTCGATGGTTAATTTTTGAACAAATCACAATTTTAAGGCAACTTTTTGTCACAATATTTATTGGATTATCACAAATTGGACCTGTAATGTTTCCTGAAGAAGCTGAAATAACTCAGACTCTTCAAAAAATTGATGTTCTTAGTGAGCTTGCTTTGCAAGAATCTAAAAATCAATTAAATTCAGCTTTTCAACCTTTCATAGGAGATCAAGATGCTCAAAATGAGTTGAGAAGAAGTACAAGAGATGTGATGATAGAATCACTTTTGAGACAAAATGATCCGGAATTTAATCAAATTTACGATCAAATTTACAATCAAATTAATAATAATAATAATAATAATAATAATAATAATAATAATAATAATAATAATAATAATAATAATAATAACAATAATA